TTAATAATTAAGCTTATTAATTTAAAAAAGAATAATTTAATATTAATAATTTTAAAACTTCCTTACTTTAATAATTTTAAAAACTTGCTTAGCGAAGCATTATAATTTCTAAATATTATAAATATTTAAAATTAATAAAACTTTGCTTAAAAAGTAAGTATTAACTTTTTTAAAGATTTTTTTAAAATAAGAATTATTATAAATAGGATTTACTTAAATAATATTTAGTAATTTTAAATTCTTAATTAATTATTATTTTTTAATATAAAATAAATAGCATTTAATAATAAGCTTATAAAGATAATATAAGAATATTTCTTAAATATTAACCTTTATTTTAAGCTAAGAAAATTAGCTAAGTTAATAAATTTAATAAAATAATATTAAGTCTTTCTTACCCTTAATTTCTTTAATATAAAAAAGATGCTTTATAAATATAAAGAATTAAAAACTTAATATATTATAGCCCTTATAATTTAATAATTTTTTAACTTTTAAGATATTATATTTTTACTTAAAAAACCTTTATATTATAATTATACTTTATTTAAGAAATATTAATAATATAAATTAATAAAGGATTATAAATTTATTATTATGCTTATTTATATGCTTAATTATTAAATAATAATAATTTTTAATAAAATAAAGAATTATTGCTTATTATAAAATAGTTTTATATTAAGAAATAAGAAAAATAAGATAAATAAAAATATTAAAGCGCTTATTTATAAATATTTAATAACTGCTTTAAAAGATAAAATATAAAATTTTAATAAGGAGTTTATATTAAGATTAAGATAAATTAATAAAGTATTTTATAAATAGCACGCTATTAAGTTTATTAAAAACTATTTTAAGGAAAATTAAAAAGAAAAATAATTAAAAAGTATAAAACTAAATTAAGGCTTTTTTAATTAAAATTATATATTATAAAATGCTTAAAGCTATTATTAGCATTATTATTTAAATATTTACTATTTAATTAAAGCTTAATGGAATTAATAAAGCTATTTAAATACCTATATTAATTCTTTTTATTAAGATTAATGGCATAAAAGTAATTAAAGCAAGAAGTAAGCTCTTATTATAAAGGAATATTATTTAACAATAGCTATTTAAATTATAATATATTAAGATTGCTATTAATTATAAGAAGGGTATAAGGAAAATAATATCTTTAATATAAATTAATTTAATAACTTAATTTTAAATATTTAATATATAGTAAGGCATAAACTTTTAAATAACTTAAAATTAGCTAAGCATAACTTTAATTAAATAAGCTTTTAGCTTAAGTATTATATTATAAAATATTTTAAAGCTAATAAGGAATATTTACTCTAACATATATAAAAATCTTTCTTACTTACTTATTTTAATAATAAATATAAATAAAACTTAAAGCATATTAGCTAACTTAAAATAATTAAAATAGCAATAAAGTTTGTTTAAAGATAATTTAAAAGGCTTATAAATAAGCTAATTAAGCAATTAAATATAAGGCATAAATATTAAAAGCAAAAGTATTGCAAAAAGTAAAAATAAAAGCAAAAGCTTTATAAAAAACAAAAGCGAAAGTTAGTAAAGCTAGCATATTATGCTTAATATAATAATTAAAAGAAAGAATAAATTTACTTTTTATTTTATAAAGATATTTAAATCTTTAATAACTATATTAATACTAATTATTAAAGCAAACTTTAATAATTAAGAAAATATAATTAATAAATATATTATTAAGCAAATTTTAAAAATATTTAAAGCTTTTATAATAAAATAAAAGTTATAATAAAATAAATAAATAAGAAATTAAAAATAATAATAATAATTAAGATTATAATAAAGTAAATTTTAAAATTTAAAGGCTTAATTAAAAATAGCAAAGTTTTATTTTAACAATCTTTGCAATACTTATTGCAAAGTGCTTAAAAAGAGGTATATTAATAAGTATAAGGAATTATATAAGAAATAATATTATATTAAATTTTAATTAACTATAAAAAGCTACCTTTTATGCTTATTCTAAATATTTTTTTAAGAAATTAATTCTTTTCTTTTTTTATATATTTAGTGCTTTAATTAAGCTTTTCTTATTTTTAAGAATTTTTAAAATATTTATTTTTTTTCTTTCTTTGGTTTTCTTTTATTCCTATCTTCCCTCTTTATTACATTAAAGCTTTTCTTTAAGTTATCTTTAAGAGGGTTTAGCAAAACCTATTCCCCATTATTTAGGTGGCTTGTTTTTACCATTTAATTCTTTTATATATAAGGGCGTTATATAATAAGTTATAAAGTATTTATTTAATAAGATTTTAAATCTTTTATTTATATATTCGCCTCCATTATTAATAAAAAACTCTTTTATTCTTTTATTATATTTATTTTCTATTTTAATTTTATAATTATTAAAAGCTTCTAATACTTTATCTTTATTTTTAAACAAAAAAACTTTTAAATATTAAGTTCTTTTATCAAGGAATAATATATAATATTTATATTTATCATATATAGGTTTTAAAAAACCGCCTATATCATTATATACTCTTTTAAATATATTATATGCTTAATTTCTTAAGCTAATCTTATTTATTAATATATTTATTTTATATTTTCAAAGAAATATTTCTAAAGCTTAAATATTTATATAACTTAATTTATAATGCCATTTATATATTTCTTCTTTATTTTTATTATTTATATTTAAATTTTATTAAGTTATATATATTTTTTAAAAGGTATATTTAAGCTTATTTATTTATTTTATTATATTAATTCTTATAAAATATAAGCTATCTTTTTAATATCCTTAAGTTATTAGCTTATTTATTTCTTAAAAGTATAGTTTGATAATATTTCTTTTTAATTTTAATTTAATTTTATTACTTATATACTTATAACTAAGTATATTTAAACCTAAAGAAAGCATATAATATATATTAAAGAATTTCTTTATAATATTTATTTCTAAAAACTTAATTATTAAGTCCCCTATTTTATTTATAAATATAATACCCTTATTACCTTATTTTATAATTTTATTAATTATATATATAATATTAAAAAGATAAATATCTTAAAAACTTATTATATTTATAATAATATTTATAATTATTTTTATAAAATCTATATATTATTAATTTCCTATAGATTTATTATTAGCTGCTATGATTATTATATATATATATAAGGTATATAAGGGGTTATTTACCTTAATTTCCATTAAGTTATTAAAAAAGAATTATAAGAAATTTAATAAATTCTTATTATATTAAATATTTTTTATTAAATTATTTATAGCCATATAAGCTATAAGTTCTTTTTAAGTACCTTTTAAAGCCATGAAAAACTCTATATTAGCTAATAAAGCTAAGAGTTGCTCTTACATTTTCTCCTATTTCTCTTAGCTTATATTCTTCCTTTAAAAAAATAGTTTTTTCCTTTTCTTTTCTTTATTTATTTATTTTTTAGCTAGCAAGTACCTTATTTAAATAAAAGAAATAGCAATTCTCTTAAATATAGCCCTTTATTTTATAATTAAGGCATATAATAATCTTTTTCTTATCTTTCTTACCCTTTATATATAAAGCTTTTTTAAATAATTTAAAGGATTTCTTTTTACTTTTATTTAATAAGCTAAAAAAAAGAAATTTAACTATATAAATATTTAAATCTTTTTTAAAACTTTAAGTTATATTTTAAATAAAGCTAATATATTTATTATTTAAGCTATAAAGAATTTAATTAATTATAACTTATTTAAAAAGAATTATATTATTAGCCTTTAAATCCTTTAAAAAAAGCTTTAACTTATTAATATATTTTTTTATAATCTTAAAATTATTAAAATTAATATTAAAAAACTCTTTATAAAGTAAATATTAGCTTATAAACCTAAAGAATTTATAATAAAATTTAAGTATATTTTATACTTCTTAAATACTATTTATATTTTTTATAAATATAATAGGCCTTTACCTATATATAAATTTAATATTAATAAGAGCTCTTTTATTTTAAGCTAAAGATAAGCCTTAAAAAAGATTCTTAAAATTATTCCTAATAATATTTTCTTTCTTAAGCTAAGCTTAAATTTTAATACTTTAATATATATAATTTTCCATTTTATTAAAAAGTAAAATACTATACTTATTAAAAAATGCTATTTTAAAGTAAATAAATAAAGTATTTATTAAAATAATTAAAAAAAAAGAAAAAGATATAATAAATTTTAAATAAGTTTAATAAATTAAAAAATAAAGATATAAATATTAAAATAATATAATTATAAAAAAAAAAGAAAAGCTTTTAAATAATATATTTTTAAGGTATTATAAACTAAAGATAGCTAAAATATAGTTAAGTATTTCTAAAGGAGTTTTAAAGATTATTATAGTTTTATTAAAATTTATATTTTTAGTATTAATTTAATATAATTTTTAAAATTTAAAAAAATGCTTTTATTATTTTTAATAAGGGCTTTTAAATAATATATAAATTATATAAATAGATTAAGTATTAGTAAAAAATGGTTAAGTATTTAAGTAAATAAGGTATAGTTTTTATATATAGGCTCTAAGTTAAGAGATAAGGTTGATTTATAATATTAAATAAGGCAATTTAATTAATTAAGGGCTTATTAATTAGCTTAATTAAGTAATTAATTAAAAGGTATATTTCTAAATATAAAGCTTATCTTATTTAAAAGGTTTAAAAAGTGGTAGCAATTAAGGGTATTACGTAATATGCGTTTTCTATATTAGGTTAGCCATTTTCCATATTAAGTTAGCATTGCCGCTTTAAGTAAGCTCTAAGCCTTATAACTTATTAAATAATAGCATTAAATGCTTAATCTATTAAGCTAGCTAACGTTTATTTAATGGGAAGGAAGGCCCCTATTTATAGTTATTATCCTCCATACAGTGGCAAACATATGGGGAAAAGGATATCCCGTATTAATAATAGCCTAGATATCTAGAATATTCCAACAGGAACATCAATCAAATACCAAACCAGGCCATAGCATCGGTGCTATGCTCCGGCACTACATGACCAACATCCAGTGCGCTGTATCCAACCAACCGAGTTCCGTCACCATAGATCATCTGCGTGTAATTGGCCTCGGGAGTGCTGGTGATATTTCGAGTAAACGGGACGCCGAGGACCGCAGACCACTCCTTGAGCTCTTCTGCAGAGTTGTGATACACAACGACAACATTAGATGTGCCGTGCCGTATCTGCATGCGCGGGTAAGGCCCCTTGTAGCTGGGATTGTACGAGCGGACTATCTCGCCCCACTGCTGGGCCGTCTTGGTAATGTTCCCTTTGGCGCATGTCTCCATCGGGTTGGCAGGGACGCCTTCTGGTACTGCCATACAGCCAGCGGCGACGCCCGAGTAGACTGTTGTTGCGGCGAAGGCATCAGGATAGACAGCGGCGAGGGCGTTGCTCATCATGGCTCCTGATGATCTCCCCACGCCGAAGACCTTAGCCGGGTCCGCGTTGTACTCCTTCAAAGTGTATTGGACCTGGAACAGATGCAGATCAGTACGCCGAGATGTCGGCCAGAGCTTGGACTTGTAGAACACGCACCATCTGCACAAGACTTTGAGTATCACCCCCACCGTCACGGGTCAAACTTTTCGGTGTCCCGGCGTCCCAGCAATGTGCCAGTGTGCTGTCCGTGGCGGATGGGTAGATCATGATGGCACCTCGGGATTTACCCACGGCTGCAAGATCGTTCTGCCCGTAGTATCTCTGCGCTGATCCGCCACAACCATGAAGCTGAGGAGGATATCACGATTAGTGAGGAACTCTGGAGCACCAAACGTAGGACGAGCTCACAGCGAGGATGACCGGAGCGTTTGCCGTGACATTTTCAGGCGAACCAACGTACATTTCGAGCCCAGCTGGATTGGTGCCAAGTTCGGTGACCTGAACAAGAGCTCCTTGCATAGCTGAGAGGCAGAGCCCCAAGAAAATATAGAACTTTGAGACTAGAACCATGATCGCGGATATTGCCTTGGATGTTGGATGGTGTAAATCAGCCACTGATCCTCGACACCCATGGTTATCTGGGAGGCTACATGCCCAGGTTTGTATAAACATTTTGGTATCTATATCTACATGCGACACAGATAGAAGTCCGAATTGAGCATGTAAGATCGGTGGGCTGCTTCATTGAAATCCGGGGAAGTGGACTTCATGAAAACAACGCGTCAGCATGTTTGCAGAAAATGACCCAATAGGGCAGGCGGATAGGAAAAGCCATCATCCTTCTGTGACAAAGTACAGAAGCCAACGGATGAGTTGTGACTGTGAAATAGCAATGCTACTTCGAGGGGCCAGGGTGGATATTCGTTCTTCCATTGGCGTAGATTCAGAGGGAACAGCAATAGCAATCACCTGATAGGAAATCAATACCTGCTGGACTGCCTGCAGGTTCCAGAAGAGGAATGTTGAACGTCGGCAAGCATGCTAAAGAACCGAGGTAATACGCGTATACGGCATTTCGGCCCAGAAGACTACAAATTGGCCAACATGTTATCGATTCGTTTTTTTTAAGCCTCTATACTGGGATTATCGCTGTGCTTATGACTGATACCTTTCTGTCTGATCTGATCGAGGCGGTTTACTCTGTCTTCTTTTTTTCTTTCTCGCCTTGTCCCTGAAACCAGTGTTCTTTCGTTGTCAGCTTCCGGCGTGGCTTTCCAACTGCTATCAAGCACTGAGCATGGCACAAGTTCTAGAGCAACCACTCATCGCCTCAACTGTGTTGTTCTTTCGTTCGGATGATAAGCCATCAAGAAGATGCGGGTTGCCTTCCCGAAGTCCCCATGACTAGGTACCAGAAGGCACACCAGACTTGACCATGGCAGTGATTTCTTCGATAAAAGTCTGAAATCGACATGATCATGACAAGAGAGTTATTTGAACCTATCAAATAACACAGCCATGCGACATACCGTGTGCCTGTGATACTGTGCTATCTAACCAAAGACGTGGAGCCAAGTCGCGCACACCTGCTGGGAGGCGCAAGACAGAGTAGTCAGGCTGTGTTAGGCGTGAGACTCGTACGATCGCATAGTGGAGGCTGGGAATTTGTTGACAAAAGCAAGAATCACTGACGGAGGGTAGCGCGGCTGTCGAGGCCCTGCGTGGCTTCTATCGTACGTCGTCATAGTCCCAGCAAGGCGTGGTCGAACTGGCCGTTGAGTGATTAACCCCCCTCTCGGAGACGAGCGTATTGCCTCCGAAGCAGACAATCCTCATCATCAGAGCAACGGAATCGGGGAGGCGAGTCACCTGGACCGCGAAATTGTCGTAGTCGGCGCCGAGGTTCAGTCACGAAAAGAGTCTGAGCAATATAATGCGTGCCTTACGCGACATCATCTGCCTCTGCTGACGGTCTTTCTCGTGATTTCGTCGTTCAATACGTCTAGAACGTAACCCGGTCTAGGTAGTTCTCATGAACCATTAGCCACGTATTCATTTGACCTTGATATGCCTACTTAACTGTCTCCTCCTCAGCTTGACTAACAGAAGTAAGTTAGTGGGAGACTGAATCGTGGATCGCCCAAATACTGCGGAGCTGCCCAAGAATATGGCAACAACCGAAATTTGGATGGATGCATGAGACACTGGATCGAAGGGAGTGAATTCAGGATGACAGGTTCATACGAGAAAAACACGTTCTGTCTGCCTGGACAGAACATTGCCGCTGAGAAGAATCGGGCATATTCTGGGCTCCCAGTACACAGTAGCGTTCGCCTGCCGTCGGCGAGCGTTGTGGACACGGCTGATTGGTCCGTCGCTCACTTCAATGGACCCAAGCTTGGAGGGTTCTTGTTAATTGGGCGGCTCGTCCAATCATCCCAGGAGCGACGTTAGTCCGGCGGTTTAACGGCACTTAGGCCATGGTAGTGCCTGTAGCGTGTGGGTGGCATGAAGTTTCACCAGGAGGGAACCAACAAACGGCGTGTTTCTACGCCAAGCAACGCTTATGACATGGATCACCCAGCGTGAATGACGGGAGAGAAAAGGGGCGGAGGTCCATGTGGCGATCATCAAGGGAAATGCAAAGAGCGCCGAGACACCCGACAATGCCGCCCCAAGACTGCGTCGTGCGCGCAATGCGCGTGTGTGTAGATGGATAGTTAGCATTTGAGACCTCTTTTACCCGGCAAGAAGGTTCTGGTCCAGCTCGCATGGCCCGCGAATCGTATCCCTGGAATTGAGCCTCCTCGCCCCTGGGCGAAACATCGTTTTCCCTTTGCGGATTATAGTTCGTCACCAGGACGTGGAGATGGTTGGTGGAGGTCATCGGACAAGACAGAATTTAGGTTCGTCGGGTGGCAATGACATCGGACAACGCCAAAGGCTGCAGCGGGCACGCCGCGCGCAAAGCCCAGAGTTATTTTCTCGATTTTACTTCTTCTGTTTCCCCTGCGGCGAGCAAAGCCACACTGGCCATTCCGGCGGCTGTGCCTGACATCAGGCGAGCGATCTTGCCGCGCTGGGTAGCGTGCGTGATTCATCACCCATGGAATAAGGTTCGTCGGCCCCCCAGTCTTGGCAACTCCCGAGATTAATTATGGATGCAATGCTTTATTTGGGACCGCACGCAAGGCTATGCTGCGGACTTGGCTCGAGCCCGACAAATGTTTATTAGCTGCCGCGTTTCCACCTCGTTCGGCTGTGGATCTGACAGGTCATGCTGTAACACCACTAACTAGTTTCTCTCGTTTTCTTCACACTAGTATTTACTGTTCATTATGGTTTTGTCAACTTCTTTGGCTGCGCTCCTCCTGGGAGCGTCAGCCCCTTTCGTCAGCGCCGCTAAGCCCTGCAACAAGCGCGCCACAAACTCGACGGGTGGACTCGTCGCCGCGACATACTTCGCCGGCTACCACGCCGACCGAGGCTTCCCAGTGTCTTCCATCCCCTGGGACAAGTACACTGAGATCAAATATGCCTTTGCGTAAGTCTCTCGTCACAAGCCTGGAGCCTCAACAAACACGCGGCATGGACTGACTATTTGGGCAGTGAAACCAGCGCAGACGGCAGCTTGAACCTGACCAAGTCTGCCCCTGATCAGCTTCCGGTGTTCGTTTCGGACGCCAAGAAAAATGTTTGTTCACTCCACAAGAACATCTCACGTAGCATCTACTGACATACAGTAAATAGGGCGTGAAGGCACTTGTGTCCATTGGCGGCTGGACAGGAAGCAGATTCTTTTCATCAAACGTCGGTTCCGCGGAGAACAGGACGGCATTCGTCAAGACCAGCCTGGACCTCGTCAGCCAGTACCAACTGGACGGCCTGGACTTTGACTGGGAGTACCCCAACAAGCAGGGCCTCGGCTGCAACGCCATCAACGACAACGACACCGCCAACTTCCTCACATTCCTTCAGGAGCTCCGCCAGACGGCCCCAAACCTGACCCTGACGGCCGCCACCTCCCTGTTCCCCTGGAACGACGCCACCGGCAACAAGTCAACCGAGCTGAGCGGCTTCGCCGACGCGCTCGACTATCTCATGATCATGAACTACGACATCTTCGGCGCCTGGGCCACGACCGCGGGGCCCAACGCCGCTCTCGACTCGGCCTGCGACGCCCGCAACAACCAGGGCTCGGGCAAGCTGGGCGTGCAGGGCTGGCTCGACGCCGGCGTGCCCGCCGACAAGCTCGTCCTGGGCCTGGCGGCCTACGGCCACGGCTTCCGCGTCAACGAGACGTCCGCCCTCAACGGCACCGACGCGCTGCAGCTCTACCCGGCCCAGAACTCGAGCGACCGCTTCCAGGGCAGCAGCTGGGACGACGACCCGCCAATCGACGACTGCGGCAACGCCCAGCCCCACAGCGGCACGTACCCGCTCTGGAGCCTGATCACCGAGGCCAACGTCCTGGACGAGACGGCCAAGCCCCTCCCTGGCATTCACTATACTTTCGACAACTGCAGCCAGACGCCTTTCCTGTGGAACGCCACCAACAACGTCTATGTGTCCTACGATGATGCCGAGTCTATCACCGCCAAGGGCGAGTACATCGTGAACACTGGGCTGAAGGGCTTTGCTGTCTGGGAGGCTGGTGGAGACTACAACAACATTATTGTTGATGCCGCCCGCAAGTCGACTGGACTGGCTTGATGGGGGAGTTTATGATCTGAGCTCGCCCAATCTCACAAGTAGAGATATCTTTCACCGTATATTTAATTTAAGCCATTTTTCATGATAAGCCTTGCAGCGTAAAGCGTGCTCAGCCGCGTAGCTTATAAAGAAACGAGTGCTTGGCCGTGGTAGCAAGAGGTGTGTCCTGCTACGCTGACGCCGGCCTGCACTGAGACTCGAACCTATTGAGAAATATAGTCTAGAACAATTCGTGTTGAATGGGTATTGCTAAGCTGTGAACTAACTAGGTAGAGATTTCGAAGCTCACGCCGGCGTGAAGCACAGGGGAGGCGGAGGGGAGGGGGGTGTTGCTCGGAGTGCCTACGTTCCTGCAAACTAGTCCTTTATTCAGTCTCTGTTTCTCGTGAAGGGCATTCCATTTTGCAGATTACCAGCAGCTTCCACATTATCATTGAGGATGTCAGTAACACAATTATGACTCGACCCTGGGCTATGCTTTGCTGCTGTAACTTCTCTACCCAGTGTCCGACAACTCAAGGTAACGGAGCCTGAGGCGGTGAATTGGAAGGCAATGTTGAACAAGGTGTTTGAGATGGAAGAAATCCAGCTGTTCTCTGAAGTATCACCACCCTTAGCTCAGACATCAGCCCAAAGTGTGGCAGCTTACAAGCACAAGGCCGATACGGTGATGGTTTGCAGTACAAGAAGAACCTGGAGTCTCAGTAGCTGCACCCAAATAACCGGTCATTGTCGACCACTGTTGAATTTCACAGAATTTGTTGACGAGTTGGTTAAATACCCATCATATCGTAGCCAAGCTGCTGTTTCGTGCCAATTGTTGGGGCCGTGGATTGCCAGTTGATACCCTGAGCGTGGCGTCAAATGATTAGGTCCGTATTTGCTACGTTGAGCACGGCGACGTTGTATGGCCAAAGTTGCTGTAATAAGTTTTCATACTGTCCTCCTATAACGAAGGTCATCAAAACGACCAGTGAGAAATTCCCAGATCATAGCAAGCAAGGGTTGAAAATCTGGGGCAGGTGTGGTGTCTTGCTTGCTCCCAATTGAATTCGGTGGCGAAGGATGTCGCTCCACCTCTGGCTTCCCACACAATTCTACTGTGTATCATCCGCTTACCCGTGCCAGATTTTTTTTTTTTTTGGTCAGCTTTGGCACGAATACAGAACGTGGGAGTGGTCATGCGATGGCGCTGCCAGTTTGCAAGTGGTCAATGCAGGCTGGATCTGCTGAAACATCTGATTTTTGCCAGATCTGGCCGCTAGATCGTACGATCCGCCCGCAAGTATCCGTTTAGGCAGGTAAGCCTAGGTATCCCAACAAAAACCAAAATAACGTTCCCAACAGCGAACACTATAGCAGGTCTGGGTTACCACGTGATTAAAGTCCCAACCTATGGCTGTCAGGAGATTCACTCGGTATTGTTGACCTCGGTACAGGCTTGACCTGTATTGGCGGGAGATTGATAACAACCAAGAGTTCCGCCCGGTTGGTCCTAAGTAGAAATCATTTGGAGCCAGCTTTTCAGTTCACAATTCTCTGTGGTATTCCGATCTGACTCTTTTGGGTGAATATTACGCAGTGCACAGGAGTTCTTGAAGGCGGCCTCGAAGATGGATTCGTCGACAGCCCGCCGGACCGTGGCATCCCAAATGCACGAGTCTGAGCAAGGTGCCAAAATCAATGACGGAACAAAAGACTACCAGCCACTGAGGTCGAAACAATATGACCTCAAGAAGCTTCACATCACAGAAACGCCCATCACATGGTCAAACTGGTTCCGCCACGTCAACTGGCTGAATACCTTCTTCATATTCGGCGTGCCGATAATTGGATTCGCGGCCGCGTATTATCACCCGCTGAACCGCTGGACGGCTCTGTTCAGTGTGATCTACTACTTCAACACGGGCCTGGGCATCACAGCTGGTATGCAAGACCCCAATTCTATTTGAATGCCCGTGCACGGCTGTAACTAACCTGGCGACCATCACAGGATATCACCGTCTCTGGGCCCACACTTCATACAAAGCCACATTACCCCTGCAAATCTACCTGGCGGCAGTCGGCGTCGGAGCAGCTGAGGGCTCGATCAGGTGGTGGTCGAAAGGCCACCGCGCGCACCACCGGTACACAGACACTGTCAAGGACCCGTACTCTGTCAGAAAGGGCTTCATCTATGCGCACATCGGCTGGCTCGTCATGAAGCAGAACCCGAAGCGTATCGGCCGGTCGGACATCACAGACCTGAATGAGGACCCTATTGTTGTTTGGCAGCATGTGAACTACCTGGTAAGCTTGATTCGGTGCCTGGGTGGTTGTGAACCCACGCTGCTGCCGGGACTCTTGCTGACGGTTATCTCTCTTAGAAATGCGTCATCTTCATGGCCTTGATATTTCCCACTCTGGTCTGCGGCTTTGGGTGGGGTGACTGGCGTAAGTTGACCTCTGCGGACATTGACATGACTTCGGTCTTGCTGACATCTTGACTACCAGTTGGCGGTTTCATCTACGCTGGCGTTCTCCGTGCAACCTTCGTGCAGCAGGCGACGTTTTGCATCAACTCCCTCGCACACTGGCTCGGCGACCAGCCCTTCGACGACCGCAACTCCCCTCGCGACAACTGGATCACGGCACTCGTGACGCTCGGCGAGGGCTATCACAATTTCCACCACGAGTTCCCGTCAGACTACCGAAACGCCATCGAATGGTACCAGTACGACCCTACGAAGTGGATGATCTGGCTGTGGAAGAAGGTCGGGCTGGCCTACGATCTGAAGCAATTCCGACAGAACGAGATCGAGAAGGGAAGGGTCCAGCAGCTGCAGAAGAAGCTCGACCAGAAGCGATCCAGGCTGGACTGGGGCATCCCTCTCGACCAGCTGCCCATCATCGAGTGGGACGATTTCGTCGCCCAGTCGAGGGCGACCGACGGCACTGGCAGGGCCCTCGTCACGATCGCCGGCGTCGTGCACGATGTCACGGACTTCATCAAGGAGCACCCGGGCGGCAAGGTGCTCATCTCTTCTGCGATTGGGAAGGACGCCACGGCCATCTTCAATGGCGGGGTCTACCTCCACTCGAACGCGGCGCACAATCTCCTCAGCACGATGCGGGTCGGCGTCATCCGGGGAGGAGGCGAGGTGGAGATGTGGAAGCGGATTCACGCCGAGGACAAGGACAAGCTCATGGTGCGGGACTTGGACGGGAACCCGATTGTTCGCGCCGGGGACCAGCCTACGAGGATAGCAAGGGGGACGGCGTGTGCCTCTGCGGCGTGAAAGGCGCTCGGGCAGGGATGGATGTGCTAGATTGTGTTATTTCTACATTTTACCGCGCGAGCAAAGCGTTGTTATCATCATTGCAATAGAGAGAAGCCAATGTCTCAAGTCATGAGACAACAAGTATCAAGTCATTGCCGTGCATGATCCCATCAATTTATGTTGACAAAGGAAGCCAATTACATGGAGACACAACGCCTCAATCAAGTCAAGACCGTTAACGTTATTGTGTTGAAAGTCAATCAACTGGTTGAACAATTTTATTAGCGTCGCGCTCTGATGTTTATAAGTGCCTGGACCAACTCGAGGGTGAAACCCAGAATGCTTCGTAACGATCCATACGTTGGTTCTTCTTCAAAATAAAGGATCGTTCTGGCAGAAGCCGTTTCCGGAATGTCCAGCACAATTGCGTTCTTTCATCAATTGTTGCTTGAACCCATCCTTTGAATGCCGCAATTTTGGGCGTGTTGTAGCAACCCCCCAATAGTGAACCCAAAGCAAATGAAGAACACAAGTGTCTAATCCTGTCTTAGAAACGGGACTCAAGAATGCTCTTGTGTTTGACTGAGATTGTCATACCTGAGCCTGACGAGGAACACTTTGCACCATCCACCACCGCGAAAAGAATCAGCAGGGTTTGCGTAGGACGGAAGAGTCAAGAACAATGTCTATGCCAGTAACCCCCCCGAATCCCCGGGCGGGCGGTCCCCCGGCCACACCACCAAGAGGGGCTTCCGTTCCGCCAGGACGAGCAGTATCACCACCGGGACAAGCCGCAGCACCACAGGTTTTATCACCGGCAGTGCTGCGGCAGCAGCAAGCAGTGTCGCGATATCAAGAAGAATTAGCCTCGATTGTACAGAGTAGGGGCTTCAGGGATCTCAGGTTCCGGCTGAACAACTACTTCGAATACAATCGGCGAGGGCTTGTGCCCGAATGCGAAAGTCTAGGCCAGCAGCCATGGGATGATGCGCTCACAGATCCTACAAAGGCCCTTGCACCGTATGACAAGCAAGTGTCTCCGGCTGAGTGGAACAACATCTACAATGATCCGTTTGGAAGGGATGATGAAGATATTCGCGCCCAGCAGGCTGGTAATGTGAGACCGTTCGAGGCTCCAGCCACTGGTTTCGTGCGACCCAAGGACGATATAGGAGGTAGGCAGTACAAAGTTCTGAAATGCTTGTCTTATGAGTCCAGAGTTGGCGTGGCGAACCTCCCTTCCACGGCCCCGAGAGGCAGCGTGGAAGAATGAAGGTGGTGCTGACTGCTTCAAAGATGCCTTCGTGATAGACCTCCGCCGTAGGCTGCGCCGCCGGGGCCTCGACATCAGGTCGCTTCGGCATCTCGGGGCGGGTGGTTCGGGCCTGGCGACTCTATTCGAGGTGCGCTCGAGCAAAAGTGGTGTGCGGAAGAAGTTCGTCATTAAGTCGTCTAGTATAGCGGACGATCCGGTTCTGGAATATGAGAAATCTATCCATATGGTACGTTATTTTTTGGCAACCCTCGATTTCAAATGGAACAGACCCCCCGGGGCACGTGTCTTCGTAGCACGCGGCTGACAGTTGGTGGTTCCAACATACAGACTCTGAGACGCGCACCGCACATCGTGCGACCTCTTCTGTGGGCAGATGACATCATGACCGGTGCTCCGGACGGAGGAGGTATCAAGCGGTTTTGCCAAGAAATGGACGATCGTAAAGATATGGTTTATCTAGAGTTTATGAAAGGCGGTAGTCTGTCAGGGCTGATAGGAAAAGTGGTGGCCACGGGGGCGGTGTTCCCTAATGGCATTCTATGGAAGGTTTTCTTCTGCCGTAAGCATTAACGCATGTCTGTCCACGAGTGAAAACCGCTAACCCTATGCTCCCGATTCGCCAACCAGTTGTACGGGCTTGTCTTGCCATTGAATACCCACCTAGACTACAGATACAGGAGAACGGGTACTGGGCCTGGGACTCCGAGGTGGGCGATGATGGCGTGGAAAAGGTTCCTGATCAAGAGTTTCAGAGGGATGGATATGGATTGGTGCATTTCGACTTGGACCCGGACAATGGTGAGGGCGCGCATCTCATAGGCGGGTCTTCTGGCGATGCTCTTCGACTGATGATACCGGCCACTAGTAATGATTGGTGATAACGACGAAAAGCACCCAGCCGCCCCAGTTTTCAAGGTAACCTACGAGCCTGTGTTGACTTTGTGGACTTGGAAATGGTAGCAAAATACTCACAGTGTCGCAGGTTGGTGACTTTGGGACTGCGTCGATGCCCCGGAATCCTACTTTCGCAAATCGGTACGTATTGCTCGGAAGTCAATCGGCGACGAATCGAAATTGAAATCCAACTAACACTTTTCGTTGTTGTAAAGAGACATGATTTGGTTGACTCGAAGAGCGGGTAAAAGAAGTCACTCTATGCCCGTAAGACTCGGAACTGGAACCCCAAAGCCGCAGCCAGCTGTTGAAGGCGATGTATTGATCACTGTTGCATAGGAACAATTCCACAAGGAATGGGAGTACGTTTTCATGCTACCCAATGCCGAAAATCCCGTTCCCAAGGTCGCAGGGAACTATGGGCCGGCCAGCAATATCTGGGCTATTGGCATGGTAAGTCAGTCTCAGCAAGAAATTTCGAGAGGAGATCACCAGAGTTAACTGGCAAACAATAAGGTCTTGCACGATATGATAACGCAGAATCACCCACCAGACCCCCCAGCCGCATTTGGGCCGATGAATGGTCCAGATGCCAATCTGATGCCCGATGGGATCCCGGCGTTCCGTGACGTCGACGGCAACGTGGTAGACCCATTCTACACCCACGGGAGCTGGCTAAGAGACGCGGACAGCATAGACAAGGACCTTAAAGGGCTGCTCATCCGATGCTTAGCGGACCAGCCAGCTCATAGGCCTAGCCTACAGGAGCTGAACAAATACTTGGACCGAGCTGACAGGATCTTTGCCTGGAATGATGACCCAGACGACCGAGATTGGGTCGAGCAGGTGCTGAACGAGCCTCCAGAGGTACGTGCCGCTGCAATTGTGGTAATTGAGGGTTGCTAACATTTAGTTACAGGCGATCGAAAAGGTCGACCCTGTTCTTGACTATCTGCCTGACCAACTGTCCCGCAGCCGACTGTCCTTTGTACGGAAAGTTGTGCGCACGCGGCCATGGACTGGGAGAGCTCGAACGCCTCCGGCACCACAAGAACCAAAACCACCACAACCACCCCAAGCACCGCAGGATGGACCACAGAGTACTGGAACGAGGATATTTAATTTGTTAAATGCCGCTGGGGCTAGTCTCCAGGCGCTCTCGGCTGTCTGGTCAAGTGCAAGACCACCACCAGAACCAGAACCAGACCAGGTCCCAGTGCCGGACGACGTTGCGTATCTCTTCAGTCCAAATGGGGACTCTTTATTATTGACTTATGCTGGAACCGCAGTCGTGAATCCAACACCAGATGCAGGCGAAAGGGCAGCAGGCCGGTTGCCTGTGTCAACACCGGTACGTCCATCGGCGGGCCGAGGTGGAGGAAATGGCTCAACATTTGCAAGCGGTCCAAACGGAGTGGCAAAGCGGTCACCTCTCAGCGCCTTGGCTATGGCTAACAGAACCACGGAGGACTCGCAGTCGAATGCATATCTGAGCGGCGACGAAAACCCTCCAGACATCTTCCTCACTACCCACGACCCAGCGGCACTTCGAAACAATAGCGGACGGGCGGGGATCCCAAGAGAGATCGTCATCTCCCTATCCCAAGCTTCGGGACTGGGTGCGCGCGACCTGATGCCCATCCCGCCGTTCACTCCCCGGACAGCCCCGCCTATTGCGCCTCGAGGATATCAGTACGGCCGGGCATCGCCTCATCCCCCGTTGGATGGCCAGATCGTTCCTCCGGGGATGTTCACTATCAGGATTGATCCGATCGACCCAGCCCGTGGCGGAAGACAGCCCAACGTATTCTATCGAGACCTTAACCTTGGAGGGCCTGCGAATAAAGGAAGAGACAATACCGCAAACAACATCCCGGGCGGCGGTAGGCGCCGCTCGCCCACGCAGGATGTTGAAGAACTTGGCCCACGAGTGCCAAGGGTCAAGGCGATGCGCATACCATTCTACGGCTTGTTCGAGAGGCCACCAGCGAGGCCCCGCGGGTTCCATTACGGCCGGAGGCTCTACCTGTCGCCTGCGGAGATCCAGGGCTTAGCCAACAGGGGGGTCAGGGCCCCGCCGGGCCGTGTGATCGTACGACTGGTCCACGTCGACGTGGCCGAGGGCGATAGCTATGAGAGGCCGACCATCTTCTATCAAATGGAGCCCAGGTTCCGAGCCCCGCTGCCGCCCAGTGACGACCCGGAGGCAAATATCCTCTATGCTACTTTACCTATTTTGTGAACGGCTTTGCGCTGACAAGGTCAGAATCACTCGTGTTGTTTGAAATATGGACATAATTGTTGCCGTGCATTTAGAAGCTGAAAGGCTCATAGCGTCCCTCATGTTTCTCTTCAATGGAACCGTACTTATTGTTAGGAGCCTGTAGGGTTGACTTGGGGGGAGGGGGTTGGGTTATATTTGCTGCACTTCTGGTCTTGCGATTATTATAGGCATGAGTTGATAATGGAATTCAGGTTCAATACATATATTTTCGACATCATATGTCTATATACGACGCATAGCGATAGGACACATCGGTAGCTCTGGTTTCGTGCATGACTTGTGCGAAAATACGTGGCCGAAGACGACGGACTATCCAATCCCGCCAATCTTATGCAGCCCGGGGTGATTCCACTCCTCGTGATAAATGCATTCCATCGCTCTGTCCCGTCATTCCAACCATAGCTATAGCATTCCTTCCTGGCTGTCGTGTTGGATCATCTAGCGAATCAGCCGCGGGCACTCGTGTAGCTTTGCGTGCGCACTACCGGCGCCGGAGGCGGCCCAGTCGAAGGTTGCTGTTCGCCCCTACACAAGGCCCCTACGCAGGGGCTATTGGCCGAATCTACAAGTTTCATATCGAAGGATCTCTTGTAGATCTTCATGTGATCAGTGGGGAAGCAAACTTCGACCATAAATAAAGTTCGGGCCCCGCCCTGCTGTGGCCCTGCACGAACAGTTCTTCATATACTGGAGTTTTGGTAGCGTTCTTGTCGACGTAGTCAACGAGGACAAAACGCGATAAATTTTCCTTCGAGTATTCTGTCTTTTGCGCATCATTCAGCACTGATAGTGTACCGAGTCCCGACCATCAGTTACAATGGCAAGTTCCATTCTCATTTCCACCAGCGCGGATCTCAAGATATTTCTCTCTTCCATCAGACCTGGCAGCACGATCTATCTGGACTTGGAGGGCAAGAATCTCAGCCGCGATGGAACTCTGACTCTCGCCACCATGCTCATTCAACCGCAGAATGACACGCGAGTGGTTGACGTGTTGAGCCTCGGGAAGTCCGCGTTTGATGTCGAGTCCGACGAGGGAACGAGCCTGAAGTCCATCCTCGAAGACCCTGACATCCCAAAGGGCGTTTGGGATGTGAGAAACGACGCTGACGCACTGTGGTCCCACTTCCAGGTGAAGCTGGCCGGCGTGACGGACATCCAGTCCTTGAGAACGCCTCCCGCCCACCCGGGGTAGACAGAAACAGACTTAGCGGGCTGTACAACGCGATCAGGTTCGATATCAGACTAGGGTTTCAGGAACGAGAGCGCTGGATACGGACCAAGAACTCCGTCCGGAACTCCATGTCCCAGGACATATTCTCGAAGCGCCCACTGGCTTGCGATACCATCCGGTACTGCGTCAATGATGTCGTCCACCTGCCGGCTCTGCAGGAGTACTACATGAACAGAATAACTCCGGAATGGCTAGATAAAGCACGTGCAGAGTCACGCCGCCGCGTAGTTGAAGCTTGCTCTCCTGGATATCAACCTCAATCCCCTGACAAGGTTTTTGCGCCTTGGGGGAGAGGCAGCGCTACTGGATTAAGCTTGGAGGAAGCATTTGAGGCTTATTGGGACCTGATACACGATGACCAGAGGGACTATGATGACTGGGAGGATGAAAACCCAAATTACGCTGATGATGCTTGGGATGATGGGGCACTGGACAGTTGCTGGGACAAATACTAACATGGCTCGGGCGGATCATCGATCTCACTCGTTTTCTTTTACATCTCGGTTTTGGTTCTAATAATCCTTTTACTTCGATCTTCCTGTATCTTCCTGTATTAATTTCTGATCCTTTCCCGACTCTTTTCGATCCCTTTTGAATCAAGAACACTTAGCGTCCGTGGTTCTACACTACTAGCATTACTAGCTATATCCTATTAACTCATATCATCATCCTGTACGACATAACTGACTAGGTATCTGGCCGTTCATCTTGAGTAATAAGGTTCAAGATCCTGAGCCGTCAGGCATATCTGCTGGACTGTCGGCGTAATGTTGCACTGACCACTTCTCACCCTCAAGGCCGCCCTCGTCCGTTGAGTTCGGGCACCATGGCTCAGGCCTTCGTCTTATATCGCACCACATAGCCCGTGGCTAGTAAACACACTCTGTGACTCCCACTTTGGACCTTGATAGCATGAGAATAGATACAATCAGGCCATACAAGCCCAGTACTTCAGAGAAAATCAAGATCAGCACCATAGCTGTATACAAGCGAGGCTGTTGAACGTTGGCCCTAACTGCTTGAGAATCAGAAAAGTCCAATGTTGGAAGGTATAGGTACTGAAAAGAGCTGCCAGTGTATCCATCTCAATGTATATCTTACCTCCAGCGTCACCGACAATGCCAATCGCAAATCCAGCAGCCATCCCACATAGTCCGACAGCCATGCCGGAACCAAGCTGGATGAATCCTGTAAAGAGCGCCATCTTCTCGGCCAAGTTGTTGCTTATGATCACGCTGGTCACAAGTCCGTAGATTGACAGGATCTGGGCCATGACTGCACATAGCTTGTCATGATCAATCATGGCTTGTCAGTGTATCATGACACCGATCGGGTGAGCGGCTGATAAAAGCTTTGCGCAGGGAATGAGAGTTGCATACATGTTACGCGTCCAGCTTTCAGGCCTGAGTATGGCTGCGCTGAACACAGCGCCGGATGACTTGGCCGTGCCGTACGATGCCCCGAAACAGGAGAGTATGGTAGCCATGGCACAGCCTAGAGCACCAAAAAAAGACTACAGTCAGTCCTGGTTAGCGTTCTTATCTCGGATGGAGACCAGCTCCTAAGCTTCAATCTCTCAAGGCGAGTGGGCGCAACGAACGGCGTATACTGGTCTAGAAGTATAGTCAGCGTCTCTGTAAGGGTGTTTCCATTGATCTCAGGTACGTTGAACATCACGAGAGAGCGTACCAACGATCGGGATTGTAGGTTTCCATCTTCGAACTGTGCTGGAATATTGGATGCTGTGAGTTGTTGTGTTGGAATTGCATCAGTTGAACAGTGGTGTGCTTGAGCAGTGAAATGGGTAGGCAGAAAGGCTATGAGTTATTATGGCAAGGGAAGCTCAGGACTTGTTACTGCTATCACTTGTCCAGAACCGATCGAAACCAGATGAAAATAAGACGGATGATCGGAATCCCGGCGGGATTGATGAAGCCAGCCGCGCAATCTCTGTGAGCTCACACTGCATGTCAGCACTTGCTTTTGGCGTTCCACACAGATAGCCACGAGGAGCCAAGCAGGCAGAAGAATAAAGTCAGTCGTAGTTGGCCCAGAAAGACTTACGCTTGTGTGGTGTTAGCCCAAACACACTTAGAGAATAGAATCTGTATTCCGTAACATACGTCGACTAACAGAAGAAAAATTGATACTGAGTCGATCAAAAAAACCATGATGGATTTTATTCTCAATGTTCCGAGCAAGCCGATTCGCCCCGGATCAATTGATTAGTGACGTCTAGTAGTACATAATGACCTCAAACGAACATTCTAAAACTCAGAGTGATATATGAATTCGAATTGATTCCGCATATGATACTGGCTCACGGTTAGATACGTGTTTGCTTTGGGGCCATGAACAGTCCCATCGCGCTCAGCTTCAACGCTCCCGGATTGAGCCTATCTGGATAAAGCTCCATCATAGCCGAGAACACTTCAGCCTCAGTAGCCGGTTCTTGCTGTAGGACTTTGCCGAAGTCCTCTATATACTTCCTCGTGGAGTCCAGATGCCATATACCATCAATCTCCTCGGCCCGTTTGTGGCCTGCCACAACGTACGCCGGGTCCAGCGACCGGATCAATTCGATGCCCCAAATCCATTCATCTCTCTTCGCCCGGGTTTTTGCTTCCATCAGCATCTGATGGACCTGACCATACACCACGTCTCCGCATATAGCAAGACGCAGGGCAGGCACCCAGAGGATTGTTGAAGAATAGGTGTCACTGTGGCCGCATTCCTTGGCTTCAAAGTACCACTTGTCGTCATTTTGAAAACGGCCGGACCAGTCTGCCGGGATCGGTTTGGCAAGAGCAAAGGGTTGATGGATCTGACCCGGGAAACGACTCTCCCACGTTGTCTTGAAGTAGTTCTCTTCGACCTGTTGCTCCATGTGCGCCACAGTGCCGGTGGTTGCCAACGGCATAGCTTCTGGGAAGCGCTTCAAAAGAATGGGTATGCCGAAAAAGTGGTCGCCGTGTCCATCAGTGATGTAAATGTGCCGAAGTTTTCGGTTTGGTGCTATACCCTCGATCCACTTGCTCAGATCCTCCGTCTGGGCGACGGTGATTGGCGTGTCGACCAGGACGGCTTCGGTACTCGAGTAAACGAGGGTGCAAGAGATGGGCGACCAGCCAACTCCAGGTCGGCCACTGATCGGAATTGACGGCGCAACGTAGACAGCTGAGCGTAGTTGAGACGACATCATGATATTAGTTGTTGAAGATATTGATGAATCTTGGACGATGAAGAATGATTTCCTGGCTGTAACCGATAGCTATAAGTACCAATTCAGCGCGGCACAACATGGCATCAAGAGAAAGACCCCGCAGCCGTCACCATCAACAGTGACCTCGGATTCAAGTTCTGACACATGTTCTCCTCGTCGCGTCAGTGTTACAATCTCCGACAGGCTTCCCACGCATAGCGATGATCCAAGGACAATGCCGGCCAACATTATCACCAGATAGGTATCCCCTCCTCCCCGCCTGCTCCAATAACATGTTGTCGGTGGCCGAGGCGTATGTTCACATAGGGAGTTAAAGCAGAAATCCGGACGTGACTTGCCCGTGGCACAGAAAATGGATTAGTGAACCAGAAAGTTGGGCCACGGAAGCCCCCACACCAAGCTGAGGTCAGACTTCCCGGCCCACCAGAACACAGAAGCAGCTCTAGGTTACAGTAACTCTGCCCATTTGACGTCTTTGGACAATGCCAATTCAAGAGCTCAGCTCATTTTTGAATTCGAGGTCCGAAAGTATAGAATGATGTTTAGTGATCTTCGGAACGTCGAGGCATACTGCATACTCTCTCCACGCCATGGCCATGATCTCCGTTGTCAACCCATCAAGCCGTGATTGTCTGTAGAAATAAAAGACCAAGTTATGGCGTGGCCAAATAACTAACCATATCAACTCAACCATCACTTTCAACCCAATAACAAGGCTCCAGACCTAGCCATCATTAATCATGCCGAAGTGGGTATTCCAAGTCTCGGAGTGTTGGAATATTTTAGATATCTAGGCTATTATTAATACGGGATATCCTTTTCCCCATACGTTTGCCACTATATAAAGGATAATAACTATAAATAAGGGCCTTTCCTCCCATAAAATAAACATTAACTAGCTTAATAAACTAAGCATTTAATGCTATTATTTTAAAGGTTATAAGCCCAGAGCTAACCTAAAACGGCAACGCTAACTTAATACAGAAAACGCATATTACATAACACCCTTAATTACCACCACTTCTTAAACCTTTTAAATAAAATAAGCTTTATACTTAAAGATATACCTTTTAATTAATTACCTAATTAAGCTAATTAATAAGCCCTTAACTAATTAAATCGCCTTATTTAATATTATAAATTAACTTTATTAATGCAGTATGGATGGGTTATGGTGAATCTACAGTGAATTTGCTATAAATTCACGGGTACCCATGAATTCACGGTATTTTTACGGTGAATTCACCGTAAATATATAGTTTTATAATAAATTTACTATATATATATTTAAATAAAGAAATTCCCTGCGAATTTACCTTAAATTTATAGGGAATATTAAATTTTAAACCTTTATTTTTATTATTATAATAGCTATAATTATATGCCTTAGCTATATAATTACTTTATAAAAGAATTAAGTAAATTATAATTATTATTATTATAATATTATAATATTTATAAATTAAATTATAAGATTTTTAATAATTAATAAGTTAAATAAGCATTAATTTAAGCTTTTTTAAATTATTAAAAAAAAAATAAAGCTTATTATAAATTTATAATAAATATATTATAAATAAAATATAAACTTAATATATAATTTTTTTTTATATTTTTATTATTATCTTTTAACTTTTAATTAATAAAAAAATATTAATAATTATTTTAATTATAAATAATAATTTTTAAATAAGTAAATATTTTTTTATTTATTATATTTAAAAAAATATAAAGTTTATTAAATATTATAATAATATTTATTATTTAATAAAATTTTTATAATTATTATATTATTATATATAATTTATTAAAGTTATAAAATTTTTAATTTAAAATAATTAAGAATTAAATAATAATAAAAGAAAATATTTTAATTTTAAGAAATTAAGTATTAAGCTTAACTTTTTTAAAAATATTTTAAAATAATCTTTAAATTTAATATTTAATAAATATAAACTTAATTAATAATTATAATTATAATTATTAATTATATTAATTAATAAAATATAAAAGCTTAATTATTTATTAAAAATTATTAAATAAAATTTATTTAAATTAATTTTAATTAAAATATATTAAGTTTTTATATAAGTTTTAATAAATTATTATTTATTTAAATTATAAAGTATTAATTAAATATTATTTTTAATTATTAAGCTATATATATTATATTTTATTAATTTATAATATATAAAATTTATATTTTATAAATTAATATTTTTATTATATAATTAAGAAAATTTAAAAAAAAATTAAAATTATAAAATTTATTAAGAATTTTTAAAATTTCTTAAAATTAAGTTTAATATTTAAATTATATTTAAAACTTTAATTTTTATATTTAAATTTAAAAAGTTATAAAGAAATTTAAAATATTAATATTATATATATTTATATAAAGCTTTTTTTAATTCTTTATAAAATCTTAAAATTTATAATTTTTAATTTAATTAAAAAATACTTTTATTTATATAAAATATAAAATTTTTTAAAAAAAATAAAGTTAAATTAATAAATAATTATATAAATAATATTATTTTAAGCTTTTTAAGTTAATTAAATTAATTTTAAAATTAATTAAAATGCTTATAAATTTATTAAAATTAAAGTATTATATTTTTTATAATTATTTAATATAAAATTAAGTTAAATAATAAATTTAATTTTATTTAAAATATTTAATTAAGAAAATACTTTTTTTATTAATAAAGCTTTTTTAATTAAAAAATTATAAAATAAAAACTTAATAATAAAAACTTTTTAATTAAATAATTATTATATTTACTTAAAATATTAATTAAAAAATAATAAAAAAGATTAATTATATAATTATAATTAAAAATATTAAAATTTATTAAATAATAATTATTTATTTAAGCTTAATAATTTTTATAATAATTAAAATTTTAAAAATATTATTATTAAATAATATAAATTATATAAAAATTAAAATAATTTTTAAAATTTAATTTAAATATTTTAAATTAATAAAAAAATTATTATTTAAAAATTTTTTTAAAGTTTTATTAATTAATATAAAATATATTTATAAAATAATATTTATTAAAAAACTTAATTAAATTATAATTTACTTTTTTATTTATTAAATATTATTTATTTATAATTTTAAATAATATTTAATAAAAATAAATATTATAAATTAATTTAAAAAAATTTAAAGGCTTAAACTTTATAAAAAAATTATTTATTAAATAATTTTTATATTTTATAAAATATTATTAAAATTTTATTAAATTAATAATATTATTTTTAAATAAATATATTTAATAATTAAAATATTTAAAAATATATTTAATAAATTTATTAATTTATAATATTAATTAAATAATTAACTTTCTTTATAATTTAAAATATATAAAATTAAATTAATAAAGTATTAATTATTTTTTATTTTAATTATTTTTTATTAATAAAGATTTTTATAAATTTAAAATTAAATTATAAAAAAAATAAAAAACTTAATATTTATAATAAAAGAATTAAATAATAATAAAAAAAGCTTTTTAAAAAATATAATTATTATTTTATTTTTTAGCTTTAATTAAGCTTATTTATTTAATATTATTATTAATATATATTAATATATTAAATTTTTATTTTTAAATATTAAAAATAAATTAATTATATTAATAAATTTAATTATTTTATTTTAAAAATTATATTTTAAATTTTATATTTTAAAATATAACTTTAAAGTAATATTAAAAGCTATTTAATACTTATTAATAAATTTAAAATAATTAAAATAAATAAATAAGTTTATCTTAAGCTTAAAAATTATTAATTAATAATTTATAATAAAGTTAAAATTAATTATAATAATCTTAATAAAATATATAATTAAATTTATAATTTTATTAATACTTTAATTAATAAAATAATGCTAAAAACTTTTTAAATATTATTATTTAAATATTTAATATAAATAATAATAAGTTTTAATATAACTTTTATTATAAAAATAAGCTAATTATTAAAAGTTATTTTTTTATAAATAATAAGTTAAAAGTTATAAAAAAAGAAACTTTTATTATAAAAAGTAACTTAGCTTATAAAATATTTAATTTAAATAAAGAAATTAATAAATTAATTATTTTAATATTAAAAAATAATTATTATTTTATTAATAAATTAAATTTATATAATTTAATATAAATAAGCTTTAGCATTTATTTTATTAATATTAATTTATATTTAAATAAATACCTTTACTTTAATTTTAATTAAATATATTATAAATATAATATTATTTTTATATTAAAATTATTATTTAAAAAATATTTAAAAACTTATTTAATAATAAACTTTTATATATTTATTTATAAAGTAGCTTAAAGTAAGTTAATATTATATATAAATTAATTATTAAAAGTTTTATTATTATATAATAAATTATATATTTATACTTATAAATAAATTTAAAAAATTATAAATAAATTATTATTTATAACTTATTATAATATTAAAGCCTTTAAATATATTATTTTTTAAAATTACTTAAAATACTTTTTATAAGTTATAATAAATTAAGTTATAAAAGTTAATATTTAAAAAATAAAATATATTAAAGCTATTAATTAAGCTAAGTTTAATATATTTTATTAAATTATTATAAAAAGCTACTTAATAATTATTATTATATATATTAAAGTATAAATACTTAATTATTTAAATATTAGCTTATTAATAAGCTAAGAGTTTATAATTTCTTATTAAATTAATATTTTAAACTTAAAAAGAAAAGTTACTTTTAAATGCTTTAATAATATATTTATAAATATTATAATCTTTATTAAAGCCTTTAAATAAATATATATAATTAAAATTAATATAAATATTATAATTATATTATATTTATATTAAATTATATTAATATTTATTATAAAGTTAAAAAATATAGCTTTTTTATTTTAATTTAAATAAAAAAGTTAAATTAATAACTTAATAAGCTATAA